GTTTTTTTTAAGTGTTCTATAAAGTGATCTGGTAATGCCTTGCACTGAGATCTCAGGGCTTGCTTACACTAATCCTGGGGTTTAATTATAAGTTTCATTTTGAAGGCTGTGAAAAGATCAAAAGTTATTTTGACAAAGAGTGACGCTGAGGTGCAGCAGTGCTGTTGGAGCAGTGGCACAGCAATATCCCCACACCTGGCTCCAGAGATCCTTCTGTGGAAGGGACTAACCATAATTTTCTGTTTACATACAAGATATGTAAATACCATGATGATAATTCTCTTTAATATGATAGCTAATACAGCTTAAATCAGTAAACACAAAGTAAGACCAGTCAAAGAATAATTGCTATTTGCTCAAAATGTGTTTTGGAGTACTGCAGCATTTGGTAAAAGTTTGTAACTTTAAATGTTACTTCTATAAGAAAAAAGCCATCACTACAACTGTCCACATGAAGAAGAAATAGCTAAGAAAAATGTGCATCTTTAAGGAGTCTTATATTTGGAATTGGTGACTTGAGCTTTCAAACTGGTTCGTAAGGTATTCTGGAGGCAAAAGCACACAAACACCTCATTAAAAAATGTTCTTATAATCAAATGTGTTTGGTGTTAGATGGGTTTCCTCAGCTGAATCATGAATATTGATTATAAAGCATGGTGATCATAGAAACACTAAATGCAACCAGGGCAGACCAAACTGTATTTCTTGTTGCCTATAGGTCTCTTGTATAATACCAGCTCTAATGAGCAGATAAGGTTATTACAAAATCTACACATCTTTTGGTCTACCTGCTTCTGTATGTATCATCCTTCACTGGGGAATGGATAATTTGGGGCTTATTCAGAGCTCAGCAGATCACTGAAGGTTTAATCATCCTTATTTTAATTTTCATTAAAAGACTGTTATGCAAAGGGCTTTTGATATCTGCTTAGTATTGAATAAAAAGTTGTGTATCTTTCCATTGCCAAAAAGATCCCCTCCTCAGCACTGCTGGTGCCAGGCTGCAATGTGTGCTGGGCAGCCTGGGAACCAGAGATGTGGCAGCAGGGTGACCTGGTGCAAGGGAAAGAAATAAAATATTTCTGCATGTTTTGTAATTTTTGTTAAATACCTGTCAGTGAAGCTAATCACGAGTATCTTGTATGAAAGCAAGCTCTGCCCTACTTGCATATAAGTTAATAGCAGATGGCTCATTAGTTTCAATTAGAGCAAAGCTGAACCACAGGTTGCTTAAGGGCAGATTTGAATTTGAAGTAACTTTGAAAATGTTTTTATCCTCAGTACTGCTTAAGAAAATGAGAGGAAGGACCACTGACTGGTCCAGGGGAAAAAAAACTTCATAATTTTTTTGAGAGGAATGGGAGGTGGCATAAGGCTGTTACTGTCTGTGAACCCCTTTGACATTGCTGACTGCTCCTTATGTGCTAAGTCCCAGGAGCAACAACAATGGGACAAATGGCTTAGAATGTCTAGTTTGTTATTGCAATGTCTTGAAACACCTTATTTACGGGATACAATAATAGATAAAAAAAATTATAAAAGTAAATAAGTAAATTAAACCAAGTATGCTTGCTCTAAAACAATAAGTTAAGTCTTTAGGAAATTGACAAAATTACAATGTTGTGATTAGACAAATCACAACCAAGGACCAAAATTCTCCTGTGCTGAGATATCTTTGGCACAGGTGAAGGGAGAAGTGGGGAGATAACTGAGGCAGTTTACAGCATGTCTGCACACACTATGCTGCACTCTAGGGTGGTCATAGGGGGCTCTAATTATTGTCAACAGGAAATAGCCCCAGGAAGGGGTCTGAGCACCTAACTCCATGCCTGGTGATGTGGATTCTGGGCCAGCTCACATGCATCATGTGGAAAAATTCTGATCAGAGATCTGATCCAGTTGTTTAGTGAGCTCATTCTGTCACCTGAGAAAGGCAATATGGAGAACATAGTGCAAAACACAGCAGAGCATCTTTAGCTGTGAGATCTTGGGTTGCTGGAGTCCACAGTGTGTCTGCAGGAACTATGTCCTTGTAAGAGCAGCAGGAAGAAGTGTCATATCCTTGCCAGCATAGATCTTAAAGCGTCTGGCAATGAGACTAATTTTCTTTAGTGTTTAGAACTCAGCCTTTCAGATAAGCTTATGGGAAGTGAGCAGGCATTGCAGGGAATGCTAGCAGCAGGCTTCCATAGTGCCTAATCTTCTGCAGGCCCTTGTGAATTCATTTCAGGCTGCCCCTGGTTAGTGCCAGTAAATTCAGTTATTGTAGCACAAAATTGTCATAAATTAAGCACACACAGAGAAATGTGATACTTGAGGAAACGTGAGTGATATTCTATAGGTATTTCCAGTGCATTTTTGCCCTTGAACTGGTTTCAGGTTTCTTCTGGAGAATGAGTCATCTTTTAGAGGTCTGCAAAGGAATTCCTTGGTCCCAAGCAGGATGTGTTTACACCTGTTAGTGCTCATATCTTTTGTGCAAAACACACGATGACTTACTAGCCTTTGCACTCCAACTGCTCAAGGCAGTGGGAGGAAGGTGTAAAATGAAATTAAATCAGAGTCGTGGTGTTTCATATCAAATTTGAACTGGTGCCTGGAGCTATTCCAAGGGCCTGCAGCAGAGAGTCATGACTGAGATTTGCTCTCTAATTGCCCACAGTGTGATGAAATTGTTTCTAGTCTGTGCATAAAGTTGACATGGCCTCTGGAGTCCTGTGAATAGAGCTTTGCATTTGCCTTTTGAAATATTTCTTCGTTCAAATACATATTTCTAAGAAATAGACACAGGAGAAACATATATTGAGCAAGAGGGTGACTTACCTGCGGCTGTTCTCGGACGCTGACAATTCTGTAGAGGCTGAGTATGTAGCCCTCTTCTCGGTCAGCATTGATCTGGCGAAGAGCCAGGTCTGCAGCCTCCTCCACTGCAGCATCATCGCAGCGGGGGGAGAGCAGGGCAACCCCTGCTCCTTGGGCCGGAGGGGCAGCAATGCAGGAGCAAAGCACCTGGATGCCAAAGAGCATCCAAACAAGCCAAACCATTCTGCTTACAGAGCTAGTGCTGCAGATCGGAGTGGTCAGTCAGGATGGAGGGGCTGAGACCTGAGTGAGATCACAGACTTTTATAGTGAAGCCATGTCTCTTTATGAACTTGTGTCCTTGTTTGATTGTGTACTGATTGTCACCTTTAAACCTACAGCTGCAACACTAAGTAAACACTAAGTCAATTATTAGAAGGTTTTAAAGAAGTGTGGTTGCTCCCTCTGAGACCACAGAGCACTTTTTCCTCCTAGCTTTCCATCTCTAATTTGGACTTCACTGGGCAGATCAAGCAATTTTGACCTCACGGCAACGGATAAGAATAAACACAAAAAGCTGCTTCCTTTAGAAACCAGATTTGAATAAATCTATGTGCAGAACAGGTCTGGCTTCAATTCTGTTCTGTCAGTGATCCAGTTCTTCTCCCAAATAAACAATGACAAAAGTCTCAGTAATTTGAACAGGAAATGGATAAGTGCCACAAGCTTGACTGATTTTGCACTTTGTATTTGTTAAATGTCAGTTTTAAACAAATACATTGACTATTATTTGCAGTCAGTTTGGTTGTGATAGAAAGCTCAGTTTGGAGTTTGATTGTGATAGAAAGCTCAGTTTGGATTAATTCTATGAGCATTTCTACTTCTCTGGATACCTACAGCTGAATTCTACCCCTTAGCCCTGGAGGCATTTAGACCCTCAAGGGTCATGGAAAATTTTTCATAGAGAAATTTTAGTTTTAAATTACAGTGGTGTGCCTTGTGGAACTCCACTCTGGAGACAGGGAGGAATAACTTTACATGTAGCTTCTATCTTGAAGATCTGGAGAAATGACAATGACCATTACTCAGGGAGGATCGCAGTGAATGTCACTGGTTTTCTACTGCAATTCTGCAGCATTTCACCTTGAAGGATTCCAGAAGCTGGGTTGCCATGTCCCTGGCTCTTATTTTTTGTTATGGGACTCTGTGATTGCAGCTTTCTGCTGGAGAACACCAAGTACCTTTAGGTTTGAAAGTTCTATTGAATGAGGAAGAAAAAGTGCAAGTGAAGGGCATGATTTTCTCTTTAATACTGCTGTGATGTTTGGAGTTAGTTAAGAATTTCTATATTGTCACTTTTTTTACTGGCTGTGTAAAGAATCTTAGCCCAGAAATTTTTAAAGCATCTGGGAGACAGCAGAATGTGTCCCAGGGAATGTCCATAGAAAGCTGGGATTATAGATGCAGCCAGAAGACCTGCAACAGCACTGGAGCTGAAACTCTTATAAGACTTTGTGTGGTGGCAGAGGTGCAAAACTCCAATAGCAGGACAGAAGGGTCACATGGCTGTTAGAATGAGACCCTCACGTGTTGGGTGAGGGATAGTGCATGGACTGTATCCCAGAGGGATGGGATACAAGGGGTGAATGCTGAGAAACACTGCTGTAGCCATAGTATAGGAACCGCAGAAGCAGCAATGCAGACGCGCTCACATTGTTCCTTGTGCCTGGGGATGCTTCCCCTGTGGCTAAAGGATAATAACTCATTTTCTTTATCCTTACAGTGCATGACATTTCTATGGAGATGAGTGCCAGTTAGTACTGGCTGTGTCGGTGCTTCTTATAATAGGGGATTGTTATATCCCTGACTCTGTTCTTTGTACTCTTCCTCTGCCTGGAAAGGAAAAATTTCTCTGTTGATGTAGCTGACCTCAAAACATAGACACAGCTGGGAAATCCGAGCATGTCCAGCCAAAGCATCACATGAAGTACATGGGCTTTTGCAAAACAGGGTCTGAAAAAGCTGCGAAATATTGTCAGCCAGCAATGCAGACCTGGCAAAACTCTTCATGCTGCATTTCAAGGGAAGAGCCATTTACATTTCATCTACCACCATTTCATATGTCTCATTGCCCAGAGAATCAATTGTTAAATATTGAATCTGTTACTAAGGCTCAGGTACATAAAAATGGGGCTATACTGGTGGGAGACAAAGTGATTGCTTCAAAGCAGTCATGGAAAACAGATCTGTGAGGGGGCATGATGTCCTTAAGAGGACAAGTGTTAAGGAGAAGGAAGATGAAGTGCAGCTACCGAAGTGGAATGCACAGAGAATTATTTTTTTTCTTGCTGTTTTAGAAAACAAGCAAGTGGCTATACCAGGTATAAGAGAACATCTGTGGAGTATGGAGCCTGCAGATGTTTCTGCTACATATCTTTGCTCTGTGTGGTTTGAAAATGCAACAAGAAAATGCAGCATTTCTGGATTTCAGCAATCTCCAGGGGCAGGGATCCCTTCTATTAACATCGTTTCTGCCATCAGAAAATTTTCTAAGCCTGGAAAACATTCTCTCTTCTATAAATTAGTTCCTATTTCATTATATAGAAGACAATTTATGTCATTTAGTAATGGTGATTCCTAGTTTTGGAAAGCCTCATGTATCTGGTGTCACAGTGATGCAAAACAAAATTGTTGCCGTTTCATTAAATCCTGTACTGGGTCTCATGCAGTGAGATGGGAAGACCACCTATCTTACTACATTAAGAGATTTCTACAGATTAATACTAGCACTTTTTGAAGGAATGGCTGCATGCAGGATATGCTAGAGTCACTTCTTTACAGAGAAGCAAAAGCTCCCTGAGCCACTGACTGGCTGTGGCTGGTGCAATTGCCCACACCATGTTTCCTGCAAAACTCAGCATTTGCTTGAAATGTGAGAGCAGCTACCTCCACCGGCAGAGCTTGCCCTCAGTGTGCTGCCATCACATTATACTGTGGTTTATAAAGTCTCAGCTGACTCCCCTTCTTTTTACACACCCACCTGAAACACTGGTGCAAGTGCCAGTGAGTTTTCCCTTCCCCACTGACACAGCAGAGCAGAACCTTTTTCTATTGTGAGCTGCTGCATTATCACCAAAGCAAGTGTTAGTTGTGTTGCTTACTGAGTACTGGATGGTTGTAACTAGGAGAACAGGACAGGTTATTTGAAACAGTTCAGAAATGACATGTGTTCCACAATTTTTTGCTGCCTGCATGATAATTATCTTGTAGCAAGCACTGTTCCTGGTTAAACATTCATGACTGTCTTTGAGACTGCTCCCCAGGGCCTGCAGAATTCCAGTCTGGCTGGCAGTAAAAATCCTTCTGGCCCGAACCCCTTATTAATTCTCTACCTAGAATAGATTCCGCCTCTAACGTGCCAGAAATTCAGGGAAGATTTGATTGTCAGGACAATGGTAAATTGCCATCACTGTCTGGGTCCTGTTAATGAGATACATGCCAATAATATATTTTTTATTCCCTTGAATTGGCATTTCCTCATATGCACACAGACCATGCAAGACCCCATGATTGTACTGCACCTGTGTGTCTGCTGGAAGACAGACAATACACATGTATTTGGCCGCAGGAATTGATGCTTTCAGCCTGCCAGCAATGAGAGTGTCAAGACACTGTTCTTTTCATAGACATGGATACTCTTGTGCCATGTCCAAAAGTTTTGAGATACTTCTGGTGGATATCAAAAGTAGTAGGAAATATTATAGGTGGAAGGGAAAAATACTTTTTTTCCTGTCACTTCTTTAGTGTTACTGGTGTGTGATCAAAAGGGAGGACTGACCTGATTTTCCGCAGTGCTCAGCACCCACACATCTTAGTGAAGCTGATGAAGAAGTGCAGGAGCTTAGTGTTTTTGAAATCAAGCCCAGAATATGAGTCATAATGCTGAGAAGGAGACACTTGACAACTAAATGAAAATATATACAGATAGAAGGTAGCAAAGCATTGAACATTTTATTGTGAACTTCTCTTTCAGGTGGTGTTTCTATCACAAAGCTTCAGCTGTTGTATAGATCTTACAACAGCTTAACTGAAACAATATTTTCTGTATTTTAACTAGAGAATTCCTATATGTAAAGTAAACTACTGCTATATGTTGTTATCATCTATATTTTGGAGAAGGCCTCTGCAAGACCCTGACCATGGCTTTGCTCTCTGGAGGATAAAACTCATTTGGGCTCAGAGCCAAGTGCTCTTACCTATTTGTACTCGATGTTGTGGTCTGTGTGTTGTTGCTGCTGCTGCACTGATCCCTCAGTTTGGCTGCATTGCATGTCTGAAACACAGCCTAGATATCAAAATGGCGAATCTTCCCAGGGCAGGGAGGAGGAGGAGGCACAAAGCCAACTGGGCGAGGTACTTTGACATGCTGAGCAGCCTCTGCAACTGCTCTCTTTGTTACTGATTTTGCTGAGAGCATGGAACGCAAAATTTCTGAAGAGCTGGATTCAGATGCAACAGGGTTATTGTGGGAAAGCCGAAGATTATGGTTTGTGAAGCCTACAGCACTGGGTGCCAATCCTGCTGATGTGTCTTGACCTGGATGAGTGTAGGTAACTCCAGGCTGGAAAAGAAAAACCGGTCTTGTTGGTTTTCAGTGATTTAGGGCTGGTGACATACAGGTAATTGATGCCTTACTAGGTACCCTGCTCCTAACTAGCTATGGGCCTGCAATTCAGGTTCAAATGTTCCTGACTATCACAGGAACATTTGCATGCAATGGAACACATGCACAGGAACCGAGGAACACATTTTTTATAGCCAGTGAATCATAAGGACCAAATTCTGTGCTACATGATCTTTCAGGGCCACCTGCACAGCTGGTGAAACATTCAAGACCAGCTGTCTCATTTTCTCTTTCATATACCTCTTAGACAGCTAATTACTATTGAGTTACCAAGAGCTGCTGTCCATGGGAAGTATTCAACCACCACCTAGTCCTCCTGAGACCAAACGCAGACTAAAATACGTGGAGAGCACTCAGGTCAAGTGCCTGTGTTTCCTTCCCCTTGCTACAGCAGTGCAGGACAAGACTTCTGAATTCAGTAATGTATAAGGACTAAAAGCCTCCAGCTTCACAATGCTGATTTCTCTTTTACATTTATCTATCCCATCTTTAGCTGATCAGAGTTGGTTCCCTTTGCCATACTAGACATGTGAATCTCCCAGATGGTCAAATTGTGTCAAGCATGGATGGCAGACACGACTTAATTCCCAGCACAGAAATCCACAGGATAATCAGGAGCTACCTCTACCTT